AACATAGAGGTAATGAAGCTATTTCTTAAAAATACACCAAATAGGGTTAATAGCAGATTAGGGATTAGGAAAGAATTGATTAATGAGCTTCACGACACAGCAAAAAAAAAAAAAAAAAAAAAAGGCATTCAAAATGAAATACAGACAGAAGAGAATTTTTAAAAAAGAAAGAAAAGGGCTGGGGATTTAGCTCAGTGGTTCCACCACCTGCCTCACAAGCACAAGGTCCCAAGTTTGATCCCTGGTACCAAAAAAAAAAAAAAGAAGAAGAAGAAAAAACTGAACCAATCCCCATTATACTTATTGTACTTTGGGACAAGTTTGAGGGACCTCATATTATATGTGTAATATATTAAAGTATTATAAAATAAATGCTGGACATTTTCTGAATTTGATAAAAAGTATAAATAGCAAAGAAAGCCAACCACAAAAAAAAAATGAAACAAAATACATTATAATCAAATTGTCCAAACCCAATGACAAAAAATCTTAAAATTAACCATAGGAGGAAAGAAGACATTTTATGTACATATCAATAGTAACAAAGTTAATTTATGTCAACAAATTTTTTTTGTCAGAATCATGGTAGTAAGAAGATAATGGAACAATATATTTAAAATACCAAAAGAAAAAAAAACCTGTCAACTAAGAACTCTGTATGAAATGAAAATACCTTTCAAAGCTGAAGGTGACATAGACATTTTTAGACATACAAAATTTGGAAGAATCCATGGCCACAAGAACTGTTAAAGGATGTTCTCCAGCAGTAAGGAAAGGAAACCAGATAGAAACAAGAATCACCAAGGAATGAAGAGCAACCGAAATAGCAGAAACCATTCAATATGTAAATTTCTTTATTTCAAAAACTCTTTACATGAAAATTGACCCTTGAAAGATAATTGACTTTTAAAATATTAAAACAAAGTAATATGAAATTTATAACTTAGTAAAACTAAAAAGAAAGACAAGTACAGTACAAGGAATAACAGTGAAGATATGAAAGCATACCACTGGAAAGCTTTTCATGATGTGTGTGTAGAAAAGCAAATATTTTCAGCACAATTAATCTAAAACAAGTGTTGTCATTTGTGGCAGGAAATTAACATTTCTCTGGCTTAAAGTTAACAACTTTCTCTTTGATTTTTTTCTAGAAGTATATTTTGCCACCACTATATTTTGCAAGACACATGAAGGCATTATACTGTTCAAAGTTATCTGTTCAATGGATGATAGTAATAGCTAACATTTATTGATGCTTTCCATTTAATAAGAAATCCAAATCCTGACATAGCCCTGGGAGATAAGTGCCTTTATGAGCCTGATTTTATAGATGAGAGGACTGTGGGCCAGGTTCATAAAGAGTAGAGATAGTGCACAAACCCAGGAGGTCAGGCACTCAATCTATAGGCTTAACTATTCAAATCTGCCTCTCTGTTTGGGGTTTTCTGGAAATTTCTGCTTGCTAGTTCTTCTCACTAAAATGATTAAGGATTTGCTCCATGTGTCAAATACTGGGAACTTAGACTGTTTTCCTCACCATGTTACTTGTGTTCTGTTATAAAAAGTAACTTAAAGCCAAGTGTGGTGGCATGCATGTATAATCTCAGCACTCAGGAGACTGAGGCAGGAGCATCACCACAAGGCCAGCCTGGGATACATAGCAAGACTCTGTCTCAAAAAACATGTAGTTGAATTTATTCTTTCCACACATATATAGTTAGTATTGGGGAAATAGAGATGTTAAGTGACAGTCATTGATTTCACTGAATTTCACTTAGCTGACTTATGGGGAGGAAGGCAAGGTAGGAGAACTTTCCATTATAACTCAGTGGAGGAAATACCATGCTAACGGCAAGCAGAGGGTTCTAGAAATCACAGGGAATAGGTTTTGCTTGATCTGTTTAAAGAGCTGGAAGGGATATGGCTAGAGCCCTGGGAAAATCTGATTAGAATTTGTAGTGGCAATTCAGTCACAATTTAGTTTGATCTTTGAATATTTTATTTAAATTATATACATCTGTTCTTGGACAGTGATGAAAGTGTGCATGTATGTGCTGTGAATTTTTGATTTGTCAGATATTGATTGAACATTTTTCATTTGCCAGCCTCTGTGCAGGCAGTGTATCTCCACACACGCACACCCACTGAACTCTCTTGGAACACCTACAGCTGCCTCGTTTGGACTTCAGCCTGCCTCACAAGCTTCTTACCAAGACACCGACACTGCGTCAGGCGATTCACAAATGACCCCAATGCAGATGACTTACAACGACGGAAATCTAACTCCTCACAGTCCCGGAGGCCGGAAGTCCAAAGTCAAGGTTCTGGTAGGCCCAGCTTTCTCAGAAGGCTGCAGAAGATGCTTCAGATGCTTCGAGGCTTCTTCCAACTTCTGATCCCAACCATGGCCTTGCTTGTGGTGGCATAGCCCCATCTCTGCACCTGTCTTCACAGCCCTTGCCCTGGGTGTGTGTGTGTGTGTGTGTGTGTGTGTGTGTGTGTTCCTGTTCTCTTACAAGAGTGCTTGTCATTGGATCGAGGGCCCATTAATTATGCAGAGTGAACGAATCTTAAAATCTATAACCAGATCTGCAAAAACTCTTAACATAGTTTTCATCAAAGGGGCCAAAAATATGCTGGAAAAAATGCAAACACAGCCTCCACTAAATAGTGCCAGGGAAACTGGATAACCATGTGCAGAAGATTGAAATGTGATCCTTATCTCTCACTGAGAACTAAAATCAAATCCAAGTGGATCAGTGGCCTAGATATAAGACCAGAAACTTTGAAACTGCTGGAAGGCAACTTAAGGGAAGCACTTGAAGCTCTAAGACTTCCTGAATAGTACCACTAAAACATAGGAATAATTACACAGAATCAACAAATGGGTGGAACTACATCAAATTAAAACACTTCTCTAAGGCAAAGAAGCAATTAGCAGAATGAGAGACAGCCCACTGAATGGGAGAAAAACTTTGCTAGCCACTGTTCTGATAGAGGATTAATATCTAGACTATATAAAGAACTCAAAAAAATTAACTCTGCCAAACAAATAACTAAGCAAAAAGTGGGCAAATGAGCCAAATAGACACTTCTCAAAAGTAGGTCAAGTGGCCAATAGGTGTATAAGAAAATGTTCACCACTTTTAGCCATAGAGAAATGCGAATCAGAGATATGCTGAGATTTCATTTCATCCAGGCAGAATGGCAATGGCCATAAACATGCACTGCATCTACTGCTACTGAAAAGAATAGAAAAACAATGAATGCTGGCCAGGATGCAGGAAGAAAGGAACCCTCCTGCACTCTTAGTGGAGATGTAAACTAGTCTAACCCCTATGGAAATCAGTATGGAGAGTCCTCAAAACTAAACATAGAAAACCATTTGAGCCAGCTATTCCACTTTTGGAAATATCCCCAAAAGAATTAAAGTCAGCCATACTACAGTGATATGATACATGTGTTGTGTGTGGAGCTGCCCAGCTCACAATAACTAGCTGTAGAAACAGCCTCATGCCTGCCAACAGATGAATGGATAAAAAAGTGGCAATATACGTATGAATATTATGCAGCCATAAAGAAGAATGAAATCATGACACTTGTAAGAAAATCGATAGAACTAGAGAGCATCATGTTAAATGAAATAAGCCAGAAACAGAAAAGGTTAGATATTGTGTGATTTCTCTATATGGGAAGTCAAGCAAATAAATAAGAGTAGACAGGAAATGAGGACGTAGACTTTTGGAAACAGGGAAGGCAATCAGAGGGAGGGCAGAAGGGAAGGAGAGGGTGGTGATGGGATAGGAAGAGATCAAGACACGTGTCTTAGTTTTCTCCTTGCTGAGACTAAATACCCGACACTCAAAGTTAAAGAAGGAAAAGGTTTATTTGGCTCACAGTTTGTAGAGGTTTCAGTCCATAGTCTGCTGGCTCCAAGGCAGGGTGGCAAATGGCAGAGGGACAACAGTTCATGGCGGCGGAAGACAGCAAAAGCAACAAGGCACCTAACAGCAGCTTTCTGCAGATTACTTAAGGCGGGCAGCACTCACACCCTTAATCCTATGCCCTCGGGTCTAGTATTGCATCGTGAATCAATTACACACTCTAGATCCAGCCACCACCGGAAATAGCCCCGCCTAAGACCACTTGAGGCTGTGGGAACTGCTAGACACAGCCGCCACCCCATGTAAAATGTAGGAACCAATTTACCAAAATGAACGTGGCCATTCTGAATTACTAACATGCACTAATTTTTAAAACTGAGGGAAAAAAGAGAAAAGAACAGCCTCGGTGCTTTAAAAATTCTTCCAAAGCAAGGTGAAGAGGGTGGTTTCAAATCCCTTGAAGGAAACACAAGCAAACTCCACACCTTTGGGCTCTTCCGCTGTCTTCCACACAGCTTTGCATCATCGGCCGTTCCTGGGGAGGTAGTGGCCGGTGCTGAGGCTGAGGTTGCACGCTGCTGCTCGGTCAGTCCTTTCTTTAGCCGAGCTATTGTACTGTCTCAGCACTCCTGCGCCACCGTATTACACAGCGGATGGAGATCTGTGTGCGGTTAAGTTTCCATTCCCGTTCAGCTCTGGTTGGTTCTGACTCTTGGAGGTGCTCAAGTAGACGATCCTACTGCGCACCTGCTTTAATCTGCCTGTCTTTGTGGTACACATACCCATTTACATTTTTCAAAAAAATAAGATCGCCTTCACAATCCTGGGGGCTAGCACTTGGGCACATCTTTTAGGGGCCACAGCTCAACCCACAACATGTCCAACAGGGCCAGGACCACGGTAGGAAGGGTAAGGCCCTCAGTATTAGGTGAGAAATGTGAGGGGATACCCTTAAATTCAGCAATCAAGATGGTTGAGTAGTGTCACACTTTTCAAATCAAAATCAATGCAAAAAGTCAATGGTAAATAAAATGGAAATATTTGAAAGACAATCAGTACTACCTTCGGTGTGTTTCCTTTTCCCGTCTCCAGTGTGATTCAGTGACAGCTCCTTACCTGTTCTCGGTGAGCTTGAGTTCGGCTCCGCCTCGTCTTCCGTGTGTAATTTAGATCACCCTTCTCAGAACGCTGCTCCGGGGAGCTGTGCCCAGGACCCAGGCTGGGGCGAGCTGGGATTCTCCTCCTTACGCAGGTTTATCTCACGCATCCTGCAAACAAACGCTGCTGAAAAGCTAATTAAAATGCAAGTCGGCGCTGCAAATCCGGGAAGCCTGCAAGTGACCTCACGAGGCTGCCAGAAAGCGTTATGGGAGCACAAAGGCTCCGCACTGGCCCAGAACCGCACAGAAAGGGGACTAGGCGATGGGAGTTGCTGAGCCCCCTGCCTAGGAGGCCGACAAAAGGCACTGGATACGAGCACGAGTGAATACCTGAGCATGGTGGGTGGCTGGAGTTAAAGACAGGAGTAAAGTGGGACACTCTGCCTCCAAGCGCCGCTAAGAAACACGAGATGCTATTTACGTGTGATTAGTGTGCTGCCGTGTGGAGCTAAGTTAATGAGACAGAGCAGCAAGTTGGGCCCGGGAGAAATATTGAAATATAAAATCTGCTACGATATTTTAAGGGATCTCACAGGAGTTGGGCAAAAGTACATTAAAACACAGTACCTAGGAACAAACTTAGCAGGCAATAGGAAGCACTTATAAGACAAAAGCTCAATGACTTTTCTAAAGGGCTAGAGTTTGCTAAGTGGCAACAGACACTGTGCACCTCAAATATAAACCCACCTCAAATTCACACATAAAATTGATGTAATTTCAAAAAAAGGATCAGTGGTAGTCTTAGGGGATTTAACAACCTAATTTTAAAATTCATCTGAAAGGTCAAAGCAGGAAAGAAACTGAAGAATTTTTTTGGAAGTAAAAATGGACAAGAACTTCCTTCCAAGTAGGTAAAATTATTATATCATAGAAAAATTGAGAAAAGAACATTTTTGGCTAAGAAAAAATGGGCACATGAAACAAAATTATGATCCCCATATGTAAGATTTTAGTAAGTGGAGAAGCTTTATAGACAGTACTTTTGAAAGGAAGGCTTGATAAATATTGATCAATCTAGAGCTATTTATTATTAGAGAAGAATAATTTCCCTTTCATACATATATCTAAATTTCAGCTGATTAAAGTCAAAGCTAGAGGTGAATTATAAAAATGTTTATATGAGTCTACCTTATCTCAAGGTAGAGATAGATTTTTCTAATTAAAAAACAACAAAAGATGAATCAATTCTTCCTTCATGAAATTTAAAATCTTTATGTCAAAGCTTACCATAAACAAAACTAAAGGCAACAATAAGTGTAGAAAATCTAGGCCACCTATAAAAGGCAATCATTACTAGTTATGTAGAAGAGGGTTCTCAAAAATAATAAAGGTTGATTTTGGTTCTCTAAATAAATCAGTAATAAAAATTGATACTCAAAAAATGAATGCTGCTTGTGAATAACAAGGTCATTTAATAGGAAATTCAAAGGGTCAGCTGTGTGTGGAAAACTTTAACCTCATAAGTAACAAAACACATGCAAGTTAAAATAACAACAGAACTACATTTCTCAAGCTGAGAAAAGTACTTTAAAAAACCAATAGTGAGATTCCAGTCGAAGTCACATTTCTCCATGCTGATTTGTGGCAGATGTGTCAATTAGTATACACTTTTAAATTACTATATATCAAAAGCAAAATGTTCTGATTCTTTAACCCAATAATTTCATCTTTCAGGGAGATTGGCTGTCTAGATGATTTAAAAATATACGTAAATTCATAAAGAAGATATTCATTATAATATTGTTTATGATAGAGAACTTACAATAGTTTCAGTACCAACAACGTGGAAATAATCGCATGCTGGAATACAAGGATCCCATTAAAATAATATTTTGAATAATATTTAACTATTTTAATGTTTTGCTTAAAATTAAAAGCTTTAAAAGTATATAAACATATACACATAACTGTACAAATGTGTACTGCAAGAAAAAAAGAAAGATTAACCTTGATATATTAATATTGGCTTTTTCTTAGGTATAAACTTTTGATTGCCTTCTTTTTATTTTCGGCTTTAGATATTTTTATGATGAGATCACTTTATTTTGTAATCGGAAAAAAGGAATAAAATTATTCTTAAAAAGCTTGATCATCAGCTCATAGGATACTTGAGACCATAACTCCAGTGAAATAAATCAGACACACGAGCTTAAATATCGCATGGCTTCTCTTATATGAGAAACCTGCAATATAAATACAGAGCAAAATGAAAGAAAAGTAATAGGAAATAGGGAGATAGATCTTTTCCAAGTGGGAAGGAGCTGAGAGATGGAGGGAGAAGGGGAGAGGGAAGGAGATGAGAAAAGGGATGCAGGAGTGAGGAGCACAGCCAGTATTTACTGAAAACGTGACAAAGAGGAGTAAATTAAAAAGGCAGCCATAAAATAAAATAGTGTTAAGAAGAGCCTCACCGCACACTCTCATTTTTCCCATGAGCCAGGCTGAGTACGCTAGCTGACTGGCAGTGGCCAAGTGCTATTCCTAAGCAGAACCCGAGCGTCCCCAGGACCCAGTCCGTTCCAGAGGGTGGGCAGGGCAGGTGCCCAGATGGGGAACAACTGGCCCCTGGGGCTCCTCAGGCATGGAGACCAGGCCAGTTTTCTAATTCACCGCAGACCTCCTGCAGGCCAGAAAGTGGAGCATCTGCTCGGGCCTTGGCCCTGCTTCCTAGGAGACCAAAGCCATGGACAGGGGCAGAAACGGGCACCAGGGAGGAGACTGCGCCGCTGCCTGGAGGGCAGCAGAGCAGGGCTGCAGGCGGCAGGAGGGGTCGCTGGCAGTGCCCGATTGGGAAAGGGCTTGAGGTCTGTGGGTGGGAGGCCAGAGGTCAAGGGCAGAGCAGAGAGTGGGCAGCAGGGTGCGGCCCCAGTGGAGAAGCAGTCCCCGTGGGGAGGGAGGCACAACAGGCAGGAAGCGCCCTGGAGACCACAGACACCGGGCCCAGCCTGGCCAGGCCGCCACTGCCCTGGAGGGGCCTGGGCCACACAGACTTCCTGCCCTGCTGAGCAGCCTCCCTTCTGGCTCACTGGGCTCAGAAAGAAGGCGAGGGCCCTGAGGCAAACCAAGAGAGGAAGTGGCTCACTGTGCTCAGGCGCGCGGTGCAGCTGGGCCAGAAATCTGCAGAAACCCTGGGAGGAGGCCTGGTAAGAAGCAGTGCGGCCCAGTACCAGCTCGGCTCAGCTCAGGGATGGCAGAGGCACTGGGTGGGGGACGGACACGGAGCACAGCGTCCTGTGCTACGGTTTCCTCGCACACAGGGTGGATGGCAACAGCGCTGGGGAGTGTCCAGGGCATGGACGCTCCGTGATTATTCACTTCGTTGTTTGAGACAGGCTCTCCCTCTTAGCCAACCTGGCCTTGAACTCGCTGTGACCCTCCTGTCTCAGCCTCTAATGGGGGGTGACAGGTGTGTGCCGCCATGCTGCCTTGAATTAGTGCTAACTTTGAAATTCCCTCTTTCTGAGACCCAGACCTATTGCGTGTATTTGTCAAAGAAGATGAAGGGCTAAGTGAGCAGTCACTTTTTGAATCTCTTCCCATGAGTTGCCCCTTCCTTCTCCCAGGAGGAGCTGAGACTCAGAGAAGCTCATCCTCCACCTAAAGCCGTGTGGAAAGAGAATCCTGCCCCGCCCCCCCAACTCTTGCCTCTGGGACCCAGCCTGGCCCAGCAGAGCTCCCCGGCTTCCTCACCTGCTGCCATGGCAATGCGGCTCCGCCCCTCAGCCTCCCAGCCCTGGAAAACTCCTCTTCCCCTGGCCAGGCTGACCAGGCCAGGATGCCACCAGCGGCGAATCCTGGGCTCGGGGTGGCTGCGGTCACAGGCAGCCCTGTGACGAGGACACTTCACACCAGGGCCACTGTCCAGCAGAGCCCGGGAGCCCTGGTGGAGAAGGGCACCTATGCCTGGATCCCACGGGGCATTGCGGGGGCTGCAGGAAGCCTTTGGGGCCCTCAGAACCCAGAGAGGCGAGGGGCGGAATCGGTACGGGGTGGGGAAAAGGGGCGGAGGGGAGGCCCCACAGTGCCCCCTGCCTGGGCTTAGCCTCTCACTGCACAAAGTGGGAAACAGGATCGGGAGCCCCAGCGAGGCGCTCAAGGTAGAAAGACGCAGGGCATACGCACACTGGTCTTCTCTGCTCTATTGACTGATTTTGCCATGTGTTCTTCAGCAAGTGGCCCAGTCCCAGACTGGCACAACCCTGACATCTGGGCCCCCACTGACAGAGGGCCCAAGGCTGGGCCTGGCAGAGGCGCGGAGCCTTCACACTGCTCCGGGGACACGGAGCCCTCATTGTGGGTCTTTCGAGGCCTGGGGGCCCCCATCAAGCTCAGGGTGCTCAGTCCCCGGAGTGCCCACCTGGGCAGGTGACGCGGGCAGATGCTGCTCCTCTGCAAAGCGTGGTGGCTGGGAGAGTCCAAACGCTGTCTCGGAACACTGTTTCCTTAGGTAAGCAGCGCTCTGAAGGCTGCCATCGGGGTGGCTCCTGGGGACACTCAGGGCAGTTCTGAAGGGCAGCAGACTGTGTGGCCAGAGCCACTTTGCTGTTCAGCCTCAGCCTGGCTCTCATCCAGGGAGCAGACCCCGCCCTACACTGACTCTGCTTCCAGAAACCTCCGGCTTTGCAGCCTAAGAGCCGGGGCTGTGATGAAACTCTGTAGAATTCAGGGGAAATCTTTGCTGGGTCAGAGCCCGTGCTGTCTTCCCTCCGGGAGTTTCCAGGTCTCTGCGGGCTCAGTGTCAGTGTGTTTGTTGGAGAAGCCTTTGAGCTGGCCAGAGGCCAGTGCTCTTGGTGCCGAGTCCAGGTTGCTGATGAGAAAACTCCAAGGTGACACGTTTATGAAAGGAAGAGAGATCACCTCCGCCTGCCTGTCTTGAGGGCAGAGGCAAGGGCCAGAGCTGCCACAAGCCCAGTGTCACCTCACTTGGCTCCAGTCCTGGAGGTGGAAACATTATCTCCACTGTGGAGAAGAGAAAACCCACTTGGCCAGTGTCGCCCTGCAGCCAGACCTGGGAAGCTCTCCTCTCTCCAGAGGTAGCACTTTTGTCCTTCACTGCCTGTGTTTTCCAGCTACTTCTGCAGTGGGGCAGGCTGTGTAGCGCTGTGAGGGTACCCACTTTAAACACGGGCTGGTTAGCGTTGGAGCCTGACCCCAAGAAGGGTCCGGTGTGTGGCTGTGGACAAGACACTTCATCTCTGTGAGTCCCGGTCTCCTTGAGCATGGACGGAGGCCAGTGGTGGTAGGAACTGCCTCATCGGGTCTTGTGGGTTTGAAATGGGTCCGCAGGAGGGAGTGCTTTGAATAATGTGCTGACATAGTTAATAATATGACTTGATTCCAAAAGTGCAGTGGTCTTGCAGGAAGCAGAGTAGCCCAAGGAAGTAAGAAATCTGAAAGGCGGCCCCATGCGGAAAGGCACCTCGGGCCTGGGAGGGGCGTCCGACAGGTGAGGACAGAAGCGGCCATGCAGGTGGCAACGCTGAGTGGCTGCATGACACTAGCAGTGGCGGTGCATCAAACCTGGCCTCAGCACCTCCTGTCCTGCATCTCACAGTCTTCACCTCCTCCGGGGACACGGAGCACCCTGACCAGGCCGGGCAGGAGCCGGGCTCTGAAGGGTGTGGCCGTCTCTGACGGTTCTGTAGGTTCCCTAGACAGAGCCTCAGCACGTTAGATTGCAGGTAATGCTTTGGAAGCGAGGTGGCCGTTCACACATCAGTCTGCATTTGTGTGTTTGCTTCCTGAGTCCTCACTGTGCCCCAGTTCCAGGCTGGGCAAGTCCGTAAGGGCATGACAGAACTGATTAAATAAGCACACATCATCAATGACAGACAGCACTCAGGAAAGCTCTGCAGTATCTAAAGGGGCGCACGGAGTTCTAAGCTGGAACTGATTAAATATGCACAGATCTTCAATGATAAGCAGCACTCAGGAAAGCCCTGCAGTGTCTGAAGGAGCACACGGAGTTCTAAACTGGAACTCCAAAGCAATAGACAACATGCAAGGATCTAAAGGAAGTCAAACAGGCGAAGAAGGAGAAGACAGGTATTTCATCGAAAACAGCATGTGCAAAGGACCTGTGGGAGAAGGGAGTGTAGACTATTTGAGGAGCTGAAAGAGTTTCACTGTGTTCAAAGCACAGAGAAACAGGGAGCAAGATGTTCAAGAGGAGGTTGGAAAGGTCAGAAAGGACAGGGTGAGCAGGTGAAAGGTGAGAACATAGATTCAGTCTCTCTCAGGGGATGAGAGGTATTTAGATCAAAAGAAGGAGGCTTTTGGTAAAGCTCTAAATCTTTTGAGACTATGGTGAATGCAGTGGTGGCCATTGTATTGTAAAGGGACAAAAAACCTTTAAGTTGCCAGGCAGCTGTGGATGACAGCTAGTGGCTACAGGAATAACGTGGGAGACGCTCCGGGTCCTAGGAATGGGCGCCATTGCCCATGGATAAGGGAGGCCCGTGTGGGCTGCTGCTGGCTGCTCCACCTCAAAGGGCCATGGCTCAGGCTGGAGCCGCAACCCTGCCAGGGAACACACCCACCCCCAGCACCCACCTCCAGGGCCTTCAGGAGGGTCCTAGGAGTTCAGGTGTCTAACAAGCCCACCTGACGGCTTCCGTCACAATAAACTTTCTCTGTGCAAGGGAAGGCAGAGAACACTCGAGGATCCGTGAAGTTGGCAAACCTCCGTGTGCAGGAAGGGAGAGCTGAAAGGCCCTCACCTTCTCACAGCAGAGCCCCACTGTCCTCGGAGGGCCGCAGGAGCCCGGCTCTGCACTGGATATGGAGGACTGAGACGACTTCTTCAGAGGGCACCGGGAGCCACAGCCCCAGACACCACATCCTACTCTGACCTCAGCTGGGCATGGAGTTGATATTCCGCCAGCATTTACTGGAGGGCAGATTGAATGAATGACTCGTGAGTATAACCTAAAATAGGTAAAGAATAGAAAAAAGGCTTGAAGATTCTTTAATGAACACAGAGCCAGCAAATTCACATAAGTGATAATATATAGGGTTGCGGAAGCTCATAGGTATTAGGAGCTCAGAGGTATTTAAGGAAGCTCGTAGGAATTTAAATAATCTTTGAAGAGTATGTAGTAAGATTCTAGAAGACTGGAAATCAGCAGGTTTTCATTTTTAAAAAGCTGGCTTTCAAAATGATAAACCTGTGCCATTCATTTGGGGCAAACTCTCGGGCGTATTTCTACATATTTAGTGACCCAGGTTTTATTTACTATCTGGGGTGTTTGTGATAACTTCGGTTTTAGGGTGGAAGCGTTATTGGAAGTCACTGCAGATATTTTAGAGAGGGAAACTGAGGTTCGGAGTGGTTAAGTAAGTTGTAAAAATACACACAGTCGGGCAAGGGATGTAGCTCAGTGGTTCTGCCGCCCGCCTGGCAAGCACAAGGTCCCGAGTTCGATCCCTGGTACCAAAAAAAAATACGCACAGTTAAAGAATGGTAGAGCAAGGACTTGCAGAGGTGAAGAAGAAAAAGAAGGAGGAAGAGGAGAAGGAGTCAGAAGAAAAGAGGGAGGGAGGGAGGGGCAGGGAGGGGGGAGGAGGAGGAGGAAAAGGAAAGGGAAGGAGCCAGGAAAGAGGAGCGGAGGGCCAGCGAGTGGGCGGCAGTTCCTGCGTTGGGCTTCTCAGAGCACTGCAAACAGTTTGGCCTTCCCCAGAGGGAGCCTTCACCGGGGAAATCCCCAGGAAGCTCCCGAGAGCCACTCCAGGCCTCCAGGACTGACTCTCTGCTGTGGGCCAAGAGGGTGAAGGAGCGAGCTCCACGCCCAGGAGAGTGTGAGGGCTGAGCATTGCCTCTGTCTTCGCCTGCATAGAGACCCTGGCCCAAGGACGGGTGAAGGAAGATGAAGGTGCTTTATGGCAAAGCACAAAACTCTCCATGCAGGAGGCTCAGAAGGGTCTGAGCAGTGCTGCGGCTCTAGCTCGGACTCAGAGGGCCCGGTGACTTCCAGCAGTCCCCAGGGGCCCCGTGTTCTCAGGAGCCAGCTCCGCAGGCTGCCCTGTTGCTCTACTGCACTTTCCCCTTTTCTGGTAGCAGCTGCATCCCACCTGCCTTCCACCCTATGCATGGCATTGAGCGAGGTGGCACATCCAGGCACCCACACTTCAGGATTTGTTGTGACAATGCCACCAGTAATGGAGGAAAACAA